ACACGTGTAACCACGTTTCTAAGAATGTGGCGTGCTCGCATTCCGCGGGGTCTGATATTCACATACGCACATTAATATTGAACGAACGACACAAACATTCATCGAACACAGAACATTACCGAATTCTGAACGATCGGAGGCCGCTGCCGAATATCAACGCCACAGACCGCGATTGTGACGGCCGGGATTTGAGTCTGCTGCTGCACAGGGCCTGCAGTTGTAATCACAGTTGACAGTCGAGAAGGACCAGAGGCAAGACTCGACGAAAGTAAAGCAGGGGCACGAACGAACGAGTTGTTCAACACATTTCCGTCGTGCACACCGCCACTGCTTCCCGAAATCTGAGCTGCACCAGACACCGACGGAGTATCACAACGGGACCGATTCCCAGGCTGAGGGCAAACGTTTGACGTCGTCGAACCAGACACTATACGGAACACGGGAGCAGAAATTTGCGGTACATTGCTATTCAGCTGTGCACTGATGGTACCAGAGCTGGCAGAAGCGCTTTTACCACTAGCACTGGAATGAGATGTGCCAACATCAACATTCGACTTCCAAGAACCTGACAAAGTACTTGAAATGCCTGGACCATTTTGATAAAAATAATCAGTACATAAAGGTGAAAACCTGTTGTCTGAACTTGTATTACGATCGGGTGATATTAACTCTGATTGCAAATTTCCACTTATCCTCTTCAAGGCAGCTTCATCAACTTCACTGTTCAAAAGTTTCTCCAAGCCGCCGACATCCGCCATAACAACCGATGAACTTGATCATACAGTATATTCAAGAACAAACGTGATCGGTTAGTTCTATTTTTGCTTACCTACGCATTAGATCTACAAAACACGAAGATGCGAGAATAAACTGCTGTATTAACTTCAAACCCGACCACAGGTGCGTCAACGAATTGCACTTCTACAGCCATTATGGAGTGCGCTTGTGGCGTAAAGTCAACAAAGATCCAAAGGGCGGTGTAAATTAACGGAGTCTCTAAAAATGAAGTAAGAAACAGCAGCAGCAAGTTTTCATCGACATATGTCTGAATACAAAATACAGGTTTGACACATCTGCTGTTTAGTCATCATCATGTCAGATAATCGCTAAGCTCAGCAATAAGTGATGACTCGATAAAAAAGACAAAAGAAGCAGGATCACGTCTGAGCGACCGATAAGAAACCACTTTGATGTGAAGGTTGTAATGATATAATCCAGTATTAAGTGGCACCTTAAAATCGAATATTAATACTTAACAGTAATTCGCAATTATGGATCTACCGCTTGAAAGCAATAGTTAAAATCCCGTTTTTATGGTGAGTACGGATTGATGAGAATGATCTGAATTTATTTAGCGAGTAAATGGATATTAGAATGGAAGCAAATGAAGCTACAGGCAAACAGATTTGTGACCAGGGCTGAGTTATTGTGCAGACGGTTCCAATGTAGATGGTGTTCACAGACTGTTGCAAGCATTCTGGAATCGGCAACTTGACTTATAGCTTAATTTCAAGATGATTCCTTTTTAATTATGAGGCTTTGCAAACAATGAGGTAAATAAACGGTGAACTGCGAACTTTACGTGAAAAACATTTAATCTCTCGATTAAGTTTAAAACCGGAAATTCATCAGGAGTAAAACGTCCTTATTAAAAACTGCTGACGTTTCAGCCAACATATATTGGTCAATAGCAGAACAAACAGTTTGTTTTTTTCTGTACACGGTTAAAGATGATTTGACTGGAATGCCAGCAATTCTAATAAAGATTTTATTATATGTTCGTTTCTTGCATCTAAAATTGCAAAAACGTCAATTTTAAGATTTCCTATGCATAATAAATTTCGAAAACAGCTATGTGAATCGCTACTCTAGCTGTTTCATGCATCTCCAGAGTATCATGTATAAACTGCCCATCTCTTACATCCGTCTGGTTTGAAAAACACACAGTGAACTAAACGGTGGTCCGCCGTCCATGATGAAACTTCAACTTTACTAATGTAGCAAACAGCTCGTGAGTCAAGATCTTCTCAGTAAAGATAAAACATTTATTTAACACAGACAACTGTCATTAAACGATAACCGAGGGTCGATTGGAGCTACCAGCCTTAATCAGCCAAATAAATTGATTCGAAATTTACATAGTTGTGTCTTTGTGCACCAGGGGATGTGGCAGGTTCGAATTATGGAAACTCTGTTGCATGCTGTTATTGTATTTACATATTGATTTTATCGAAAAAGATCTGTTAAGCAACACGGACTGATCAGTCTTGGGCAGTTGACTACAGCCAGCCATGTATCGTTTATGATA